TTGCACTAGTTTCGAGCCAGTTTTAAAGTAGTTAAAGTTAGGCATAAGCGGCTTAAGACGATGGTAAAATGTACTCTTAACGATTTTTCGTATCACGATGATACGAACCTTACCCAAAAAACGTTCAGATATCCAACTTCAGTATGAAGTTCGGCTGAAGTATGAGGTTTACATACTCAGTAGATGGATCTCCCAGCGAACTTGTTAGTGTACTTAACTGCTGTCTTCCGGAATAGTCACAGCAAAGTTCGATTTCTGTATTCTTATAAATAGAGCTGCTGAGCTTTGTTTTTTTTTTTTAAACTTTGCCGACGAAACGTCGGTTGACTTTATTGAAGCAATGATTGGCAAGTCAGCAGAGTGGACTACGAAAATAGACGATTTCTTTAGAGGTAAGAATATGCTTCTGGAGACCTGAAATATTTGTCTGGACACTAATCTCTTCGAAGCACAAAAGCATATCCCATCCTTTTCAAGGGGAGGCAAAAGTTAAAAATGAGATCTCATCATTTATCCATTGTACGAAAAATTGCTAATCAGCAATCCTGGAGAAAAAAGTATTCCAATAGATTACCGATAAGAGAACCTTAGAACCTGTCAAAACTTAAACCAGGCTCGGAAGTCCAGATTTCCTAATAACTTTGTCTAGAAAATTATCAGGGAGCTCTGTAGCACAGTTGCTAGGGACGTGTAGTCCGGCAATCTTAGCGAGAGGACATTCGGATGGTAATCTAAAGATGGACAACTGCAGCTCTGTTGGTGTAGGTCTCTGCGCCTGTAGACAGAGATGAACGCCTATCCTAGGGGCGCATAAAACTAGTCTCCATGCCCTTTGATATCTTAATGGAGGCTCCCGGGTACCTGGTCACCTCTGAAAGAGGGTGTAACGGTGGACTAACGGCGTCACGGGTTTCTGCTGCGGCTGTTCGCTGGTTTCCGACTTTGTATTATTATTCGGATTGCTGGAGATCCGTTCTTGTAGGTGTCTGCACCTGCAGTCAGGGGCGAACGCTAGGCATGTCCTGTGTCGACGAGTGAACGGAGAAGCTCTATACTGAGGCGATCTCTAGGCGGAGAGAGCTCTGGTCCGCTGCTGACCTTGCGGCGGTATAGAAGGATGTGATATCCAATACAGCCGGCGAACGTTGTCTCAGAGTTGATTCGTCTCGCCGTTTTATACCATCAAAATTAAAGCCCAGAAAGGTTATGTGGTAAAGATAGTATGCCCGATAGACACCGCGAGTGGCACCGTGGTAGACTTTCTGCCGCATTCTGGTGGTCCTACAAGGGAAAAAATAGGTGATGCCCCGTGAATACAACTAGTCTCCAGTCTCTTCTCTATACAACCGCTTGACTTTAACACCAACTGCTGATTACAGAGCCGGAAGGCGGCGACGACGACAAAAACATTGAATTAGCCGCCGGTGAGCTAACGAAACCTTTGGAGTTCGAAGATGGTGGTAGCCCACAGGCGGATAAGATTCGAGCATGTATTCCACTCACAGAATTTAGCGAGGAAGACGCTGTGTGGGTTGGCATGGAGGGCCGGGAAATCGCATTTGGTTAGTTTACTCGAATACGACCCATGACTATTAGGGCCCTCTCTGGAAACGGCTACAAAATATGGTGAAAGCAGCTGGCAAGACATTGTTACAGGAGGCGTTTCCTGTGGGCATGACGGTCTGTAGCGAACTACCGCCATAAACACGAGAGGTGGGCCCTTATTTAAACATTATTTATTTCGAGACTCAAACATTATACGGAAGGAGGAAAATCGGACCATCCCAATTTGCAAAACCCTTTAGAGATTATATGAAAGCCTAGTTCATTCATGCCATAGAAAAAACCTTATGATACGTTTGTATATTGACTTGGAACATAGACTAAACTGAAACCTATCCACGCTGCCAAAATGATCGCTAAAACATGACTTCGACCATTTGTGCGATTGAGTTCATTTGACCAAATACAAATGAGCTTAAAATGAGAATAATGACACTCTTCAATAAGTTTATATGCTACTACCAACTATGAGTCTCAACTAGTTGCACAACAGATCGTTTGTTGAANTCTTCAATAAGTTTATATGCTACTACCAACTATGAGTCTCAACTAGTTGCGCAACAGATCGTTTGTTGAAAATAAAAACTAAATATAATGATTATAAGCGCACTCGACGCAGAAGAATACATAAATTTTAACTACACATCAATGTTCAAATAATGATGAGTTTGAGGGATAATTTTCAAGTCATAAAGAAAGCAAGCGGCAACAAAAAATCAAAAACAAGAAAATACGGAAAAATAAATTGTAAAGTAGGAAAAAAAATACCAGTCACAACGGTTATTGTTATTACGGAAATGAAGACCGGGAGGCAGTTGGCGGAAAGAATGAACTTAAATAAAATTAAGCGAAAGAAAACCCATTTACAATATTTTATGGGCGAATAGGCCGCCAGCCAGCTAGCCAAACTAGGAAGGCAGGCAGGCAGGCAGTTGCAAATCGGCGGGCGAGCCAAACAAATGCCAGCAGCGCGCAAACAGTTGGCCACAAGCAGTAAAAGGCAGTAAATATGAAAAGAAAAAAATTTAGGAAACAAAAAAAAAATAATCAAAGATAGAAGAGTTAGTAGAATTTNTAAAAGGCAGTAAATATGAAAAGAAAAAAATTTAGGAAACAAAAAAAAAAACAACCAAAGATAGAAGACTTAGTAGAATTTGCTAGCTAGCTAGCTGTGCTATGATTTATGACTGGAACTTGGAGAATGAGCAGCAATATGTGGCACGAATAGCAAGCTTAACGAAAATACATATACGCTAATAATATACATACATACATACCGAGAAAGAGGTGGGCAGTTAACGTAGTGTAAACGAACTTCAGATATAATAATAATATCATTAAGTTACAGAGGCAGAAGGTAACAACTAACTGTCAAGACAGGTAGAATGCATAAAGAAGAAGGACTACAGACGAAGAAGCCAGCAGGCGGTGAAGCAATGAACAGCATGCAATTGTAGCACGGCGGCCGGCTTGGCACGACGGCCAATGTCAGTGGCACTGGAAGTCAATGCTGCCAACAGCAAAGCAGGCGAAGTGCAACTTTCTGCTGCCTAACTGTAAACGCCAGCTTGTTTTTCTAGTTCCAATTAAATGGCCACGGTCACAGCCGAAGAGTTGAGGCAGCAACGTTTGGAGCGTAGCAGCAATGCGCGTTTGGACTTTGCTGCAAATGCAGAGCTTTATACAGAAATGCATACATACATACATACATACATGCGGCGCATTTGTATACGCGGAAATGAGCACAGCTGCAACAGTGTAGGGGCTGGTGGCTGGCTCCAAATGCACGCGCATGTGGCAAGCAGCATTAATACGAGGTTCGTTGCTTGCAATTCTTTTTTCTTACGACCGCAAGTCCAGTTTTAGCATGAAAATCTTAAGACGGCCAAGGTGGACAGACAGTCAGAATTGTCTGTTGTTTTGGTGCGCTGCGATGCCTGGCATGGCATGACCACATGCGGAATGTTGCAAATACGGGGAAAAAAAAAACAAAGAACATGGCATCAACAAGGAAGCGCAACTGCGTGCCAAAGCCGGAGATTTTTTTATTAGACCCAGTGGGGATGGGAATGATAGCGGGAAGAAGTAAGCGACAGTATTGAGTTCACATAGTAGAAGTAGAAAATGTGATACTAACAACATTATTGGCTGGGCGATATTATACAAGCAGTTTGTAAAGTGAAATAGGCTATGTGGAGGGTCGGTTCACGACGATAAATTCAAAATATTTGGGTGTTTGCACACTCCACGCCAATAAAAAATTTCCTTTTTCAGAAAATTTCCAGCAAAAATACCTGAAGTGTAGGCAAAAAGAGATTACCTTTCTTTAATCCCCCGATACGTTAATTGGTACACAGAGGGGTTAAAAACAGATCATAGAAGTGTATATGTATAACTAACGTTGAAAAAAGCATGAAAAACGCAGTATAGTTATCTCGACAGCCAAGGAGGTCTTAGCGTCATGGCATTCGCCTTTTAGTAATAAGTCTTTTAAAAATGAAATGAAATTAAAAATGTATATTCATATATATATTTTTTTTTTAAACAATAAAAATTAATAAATAAAAGAAAATTAAATTAGAAAAAGAAAAAAATTTAATCATAAAAAAGGAGATAGTAGATTCTTAAAAATTAAATTAGATTAAAAATACTTTTATTCATAAAATAAAAAATAAACAATTAAAAAAAAATGCAATAACAACCAAAAAATTAAATGCAATAAAAAAATATATATTTTAAAAGAATCTAAAATTAATAAAAAATTAAATTAATAAAAGAATAACAAATTAAATAAAAAATAAATAAGTTTCTAAAACTGAAATTAAAAAAAATATATATATTTTTATATCATTTTTTTATTATATTTTTTTTTAATCAACAAAATGTGAAAACTAAAAGTAAATTTAAATAAAAAACTAGAAAAAATATTTATAAAAAAAATATAAAATAAGGTCTTAAAAATTAAATGAAATTATAAAGGAAGAATCAAGCAATAACAACCAAACCATTAAAGAAAATTAAATAAAAGAATTAAATTAAAGAAAAAAAATACAAGATCAGTTTCTAAAAATCAAGTTAAATTAAAAAATATATGGTCCTGTGGAATAACGACACAATTAAAAATTCAAAAAATTAATTAATTAATTAAGTTGCTCTAATCCTTGTCGGATCCATGTCTAAGCTTTTGTACTTACTTCAGCAGTCTTTACTTTAGTAAAGGATGGAAATGGATTAGACAAGGATTAGAGACAAGAGCCACTTGACAGTAGTAAGTTTTTATTTTTTTGAATTTCGAATTGAGTCGTTATTGCACAGGACTATCAATATATTGTTTAAAAAAAAAAATCGGAAAAACTTAATTAAGAAAAAAAACGCAAATTAAAAAAAGAACAAAAAAGATGTGCCAGGACTGGAACTAGCCTCTCTCGGTTGGCACGCCTGTGCTTTGCTTACTCGGCCATTGCAACTGTTGGCGGGACCCGAGCTAAATTATATAGAAGTGCTTTCTCTCAAAATAGTTTTTCACCACGAGTGGTGAATAAGAGAGTTTTTTTTCTGGGACGTTTGTGCTTAAAAAAAAAAAAAGTCTTTCGAACTATCTTGCCATCTGTGTTTCATTTGTCTTACTTGTCGAATTCGAATTTCGACTGCTCTTGGACTATTCTAGATGCGTCTTTAGAGAAATTGAATGCTTTGAATAAATTGAAGACCTTTCCTTCAATTTATTGTCAGATTAGTCAGACCAAAGAGCCAGTTCTGTTAGTAGATCCATAGCTCTGAGTACTTAAGTATGCTCTGCTAAGAGTATCTATTAAAAAAACAGCAACACAGTGTATAGATCAAACCTATTTTCCAAACATATTTATTTCTCCCATTAAGGATTTGCAATCACCTCTTAGTCTCGCAATAGCTTCATCCCGTGCCATTTCTGCCTAAAACCATATCAGAAATTTCACGAGAAAAAAATAAACCATCACCTGCACTTAGGTTTCCAAACAAAAACAACAACGGAAAACCAAATCCGCCTGTTGAGCTTAGTAGAATGCGGAAAGGCAACTACCTCCGATTGGGAAATCTGCCAACAACACGGTTAGCTGAAAAGCAACAACAAGAAATAAGCACAAGCATGACTTAAATGGAAAATAGAGTGAAGCAAAACGGATGAGAAACTCCAAATACGAATGCCGTAAAGGTCAAGCGAGTTCTAACGAAGTGCGTGCAAAGCAGGCTTAAGTGGCACAAAAATGGCAGTGAACCACGTTGGATGGCAGCTGAGGAGGATCTTACAATGTACTAGTAGTATGCATGGTTGTATGTAAGAAAGTATGTATTTTGTGCATGTTGCGCAGGCATGTACTAGATTTATTGCATTCCACAAGAGAAATTTAATGTTGGAGCAAAGAAAAGAAAATTGTTTTTTATGCAAAGTCGTACAAAAAATAAATTATTACTATATATGAAAAATAAAAATACTGGCTCGAATCGGACATAAATGGAGTTAAAAAAAATTCTATAAAATGTGGCATTTAGGGCAACTTTTGAAGAAAAATCGAACTGTTTGCTGAAAAAAAAAATCGTATATTTTTTTTGAAGTTGATAGGCATGGATAAAATTTAATCCTTACAGGATCACGGAAAACATATTTCCGAAAAAGTTTTCCCACGCACAAGCAAATTGTGTATGTTTTTAGTGGTTTAATATTTTCCGAGACTTAAACCTTTGAAAAAATTATTTCTTTCAAAACTAGAAAAAATTTGTCAAACAAAGATTTTTGTTTTGGAACATTAGAGTTTAAAAATATAGTTTTATAAAATTATATTCAACAATTTTCGATGAACAACAAAAAAACAAAAAATAAATAAAAAATTGTATTAGAATTTTAAGAAAAAGTAATTTTTTATAAAAAAGCAAACTAAATAATTAAAAAAAAACATATGTTTTCGTAAATTAGATTTAAATTCGGCGATTTAAAATTTTTTTCCGACAGCATAAACTCGTCGTAGAGTACCACCTACCTGTACGAATCTTCATTAGGAAAGGATTCAATGAAGGCTCTCTACGAATTTCGAATTTACGTTCGTAGCCATTCGGATTCAGAGATAGCATTTTCGTAAGATTTCCCGAAAATTCGACCTACGATGTATTCAGTGATAGCCCTGATCGTTGGAAAGAATTTTTTTTTTTTTTTTTGATTTTTTTTGGAAAAGGTTATGCAGGAAAAATAACTTTATTTTTGTGCAAAAAATTTTTATTTTTTTTGGAACAAAATTTTATTTGGAAAAAAATTTAAAAGAATTAGGTGTAATATAAAGAAAAAGTAAGGGGAAAAAATTAAAAAAAAAACAATATTATGTCTAGGATAGATCATTAGTAAATAATTCTAAAATATTTTGCAAAATGAAAAAAAAAAACGTTGACAAAAAAAATTTATTTTAAATTATAATTTAAAAACAAGCTACGGCTAAATTGTTAGTGGTGTTATTTCTTTCCATTTCAAAATATTAACCTAATCGGACCATAAATACGCGTTTCCCAAATATTCCGAGTCCAGCGCCAACCAGCGACTAGTTCATCCTTGATATTAAATGGTCATCTACTTCTGAGCTACATACACTCACGGCAGTATTTGCACAGAGAATTTTTCACAAAATATGCAAAAAAGAATAAGTGTGTTCGTGCTAATTTTTTGTAAAAATATGGTTCACAAATACTACAACAAAAAACATAAAAATATAATTTGTAAACTTTGTGCAAAGTTCAGGAAAATTAAAAGAAAATAAATTCATGCAAATTTTAAACCTTTTGATTTGCTTTTTTAGAATTTTTTGAGCATGCAGTTTTGTAGCCCGTTTTAGTATGTACAATTTCAAGTTTGAAGTTGCTGAAAAATCGCAACAAAGTAGGTATTTTTGAAAATTTTCTTGAATGGAAGGAAATGGGTTAAAAAAATTGCCAACAATCAACGGTAAGTCATAGCTACTTCAAACCTGCCCTTTGTAGTTTAAAATTTAAAAGGCTACAAAAAACTGCATACTAAAAAACAAATTAAAAAAAAATCTAACTAAAAAGTTGAAAATTTGCATGAAAGTTTACTTAATTTTCCTGCGTTTTGCAAAAAGTTTAAATATTATATTTATATGTTTTTGTTTAGTATGAACAATATTTTTATAGAAAATTAGCGGAAAAAATAAAAAATAAAAATTGTTGCATATATGGTGAAAAATTATCTGTGCCAATTCTTTTTGCCGTGAGTGAACATATGTAAGTTTTAAGTTTCTAGTTCATCAGGAAGTTGGTTGGTTGGCTTGTAAAAATTAAATCTTTTTAATATCGTTAGGGGTATTCATCTAACGACACAAACTGTCGATAAACGAGATAAAACTATAATTTTTACGGCATCTATAATTTTGTCACGTCTATTTTGTATGGACTTTAATGCAATAAATTATTTAAACATAATAAAAAGATGAAAATTAAAAGAAGTTAAAAAATATTGAATTTTTTACAAAAAAAAAATATAAATTAAAAGTCTCAAGCTCAAAGTAATTGTTCAATATAAAGATAAAAAAATACAAAATAACTAAAAATATTAAAATAAACAAATATTTTAAAATTCTGATTTCGTTAAGAAATTATTATTATAATGAAGAATATTTACGAAGTTTTATAAAAAAAGATGGTAAATACGGAAAACAATTATTAGTTTACTTTGTTTCAAGTGTTAATGATAAAAAAAAAAATTTATTTTTCGAAATTCCAAAATCGCTGTCATAAATCGATTAAAACAACTAAAAGATTAAAATTCTGATTTCGTTAGGAAATTATTATTATAATGAAGAATATTTACGAAGTTTTATAAAAAAATGGTAAAAACGGAAAATAATTTTTGGTTTACTTTGTTTCAAGTGTTAATGAAAAATGTAAATAACTTTTTTTTTTTTTCGAAAGTCCAAAATCGCTGTCAAAAATCGATTACCACAACTAAAAGAAAATCATCCAGTTTCGGCTATATTTTTTTGTTTATACCACATTTCAAACTCTGTACAAAAATTTTTAAAAAACAAAAAAATTTACCAATATCTCCCACAAATTTCAAACTTTCTATTCAGAAATTTTAGAAAACTTCTAAGTATGAAATTTCATAGCCCATTAAAGCAAAAAAATATATATATTAAAAATCAACGCAATTTTCTATCGTATTGGAAATTGCACTTTGTCCTACTACAAGTAATTTTTAGCAAAAAAAAAACGACTTCAACTATCATATAAAAATATATATATATATATATCTCATCATCCACTGATCGGATCGGATTAGTATGGGACCACCTCTGAGACACTATCTTTCCGATGCAAAAAGAAATCGGTTGACGTGGTCCAAAGTTATGCGGTAACATACATAAAAAAATAAAAATAAAAAAAAATAAAAAATAAAAAAATATTCCGACGAACTGATAACCTCCTCCTCGGTCGGTTAAAAATTTAATGGGGTATATAAAAGTGTATACTTAGAATTTTTCTAAAATTTCCGAAAAAAATTTTGAAATTTTTGGGGGATTTTGGTAAAATTTTTTGAATTTTGTCCCAATATTTTACAAAGTTTGAAATGTGGATTTAAATGGTGCTTGTTATGTAATGCGCCCGACTTTTATAAAAAAAAACATTAACAATCGAATAAACAAAAGAACTATGTATAGCCAAAACTGCTCAAAATAAAAAGTTTCTATTATTTCTTCCACCACTGTATGTATAGAAGAATTATTGCGATCTTTTTCGGCCAGCAATAATCTCTCCGTTCCACTGCTTTGGCTAAAAAAATCATTTCTCGCGCTTACAACGCTATGCACTAAGCCCTCTTACACGCTTTTAAATGTCCTACTCAGCTTACACTCGCTCTACCCCTCCCGCGCCTACAATTCCACTATCTACTCAACTGAAGCTGCTGGCAAAAAATAATTCCAGTCGATGCCGCGTGCTATTACTGCCACTTTCCAGTTAGACTACTTTAAGTTCGTTCACATTGAAACCTCAATTCGGTCAATTGTATGTTGTTGTTGTTGCCTCACTTGTTTGCCATTTCTTTGTTTTGTAAATTTCTGCCTTTTATGCGCTCATAATGGGGCTAATTTTGTGCTCTCTACCATTTTAGGCATAAACAAAAGGTAAATACCATGGTCGAAACAAACAAAATAAAAAAAAACTAACAAAAATTAAGCACACGCACCTACACAGGTACGGTTCGAGCACGATCAAAACAATCTACGTACACCCCTTGGACGCTTTTTTTCGTTAGGAGTGTTCTCTTTCAGTTTGCGCATATGTACTCTTAATTGCATTCTCTTAGGAGATCGCTGTGTTTTTCAAGCACTCTACAGCCAACAATTGCTACCTCTTTCACCACACTACATACGTTTAAACGTTTAGGAGTATGTTCACAGGTATTACATGCCTACACCTTTACAGATAGCTTACCCATAGATTGAGTAGCTGCACCAGCAGCAACTCTTCTGTGATCGCCTATGATCACCTTCCTCTCCTTAACTTCTTTTCCGTGCTACGTCACGTTCTTCTAATCTTCATTCGCATTTTCTACTGACCTAAGTTTATTGCTGTGGTTACCTTACCTCGGTTAACTAGAAAAAATGTATCATAACCGAGGCTTATACAACAAAAAACCTACATATCGTCGCTCGCATATCGTTCTTTTACTCGCAACATGTAATAAAATTGGCATATATGGCCCCATAATCTGTTGGTCAGATGGCGTGTTAAATGCACATTTTCCAATACACATACACGCATTAGCTGGTCATAATCACCGATGCAACGGTTATGTTATGTTTATTTATAATATTGCAGAAGACATAGGGAATACAAGAGAGCAACCAATGGTTGGAATATCGCTCTGCACCTTTATATCGCACGATGCGATGTGGTTTGCAGTGCGCTTAATTTAGTTTAGCGTGTAAATTGATAATTTACAATTTTACGATCATATTTCGTATTGTTCATTATATGTCGGAAGCAGCGTAAGAAAATTAATAGATTTTGGTATTAGCGTTATAGGGCGGAGAGAGAGAACTTACATACCTATATATGTACATATAAAGGAGCACGACGTTGAGTGCAAGCAAAATGGAAAGTTTTTCACTGTTCGCAAAGAGTTTAATAAAGGAACTTGGCCACTTTGCTAAGATTTCTTGTTGCCGTAATGACATGTTCACAATGATATGTGAGTTGCCATTTCTCCTTGTTTACAAAAATATTCTTAATTTTTTTTTTTTGAGAGCGGCATGGTCTTAAATATGGATACTTATTTGGCTATCGTCTAATTCAATGATTCCCAAAGTGGGGTCTCCACGAGTTGTAAGTGGGGGCTCCACGAGTTGTAAGTGAGGGATCCACGAGTTGTAAGTGCGGGCTCCACGAGTTGTAAGTGGGGGCTCCACGAGTTTTAAGTGGGAGCTCCACGAGTTTTAAGTGGGGTTCCACAAGTTGTCAGTGGCGGTCCCCCAAGTTAATGGGGATAAACTTCACTTTTCTCTTACGGAATATGCTTCGGTCTTCCAGCTGAAGTATTTGCAATCCCCAAAGCCATAGACTACATGGTGGAAAAAGTGGAGGGGAGGGAGTTTACGTATGTACAGTGACAGCCAAGCTGCACTTGAGATATTGGCCACCCCTCTATCTAAGTGGTTCCAACGTACTTCGACAACCCTATCTAAGTGGTTCCAACGTACTTCGACAATACAAGTCTCGACTAAATTATGTTGGAAAACATAAGCAGCACGCTATACTCAGGCTGCCAGGTCACTCGGGAGTGCCTGGCAATGAGATATCTGATCATTTGGCCAGAGTTGGCTCAGACCAGGCATTCCTCGGTCCGCAACCATTGTTAGCACTCCCACCTTCGGCAATCGAAGTCGCCATCAGAAACTGGGTGAATACTTCGCTCAGAAATGACTGAGAGCCATCGAGGGGATGCAGGTGGGAAAAACTCATGTTGCCTTCAATATCAGATGGTATAACACTTTTTGTATTACTTGCTTATTTATCATTGATTTTTCTGGGTTCG